TCTCCCCGTGACAAATGCCAGAGTCTGTGTCATTCTTGCCAATCCTCTGGGCTTCTTTTGTCCACAGGAGCAGCGAGTTGATCAGTTTGGCAGGTTTCAGTTGTAACAGTAACACCCTCAGTGTCTGTTTTTGAACAGCAAGTTTTATAAATTTGGTAGATCCCAGAGCAACTGAGCCCTCTAGTGTTAATTATCTTGGCAGTGCTGAATGATTGTGAAAGATGTGTTTTTTTTTAAGTAAGAAAAGGTGGGAAAATAACTGTCTCACTGAATTATAGGTGGTATTTGAAATGAAAACACAAATTTGGTTGTTTGGGAAAACTCAGTGACCATAGCTAAGTAGTTAATAGCATAGAGTGGTAACAGGTGAGTTTGTTTTTGTTCCATATAATCAGTGTGGTTACTTGTTTAGTATGATGCTACGTAAGTCAGTGATAACAGTGTCTCCAGCATGCATGATGTGTGTGTGCTGGCTTTTGTTACACTTCAGTTGTATCTTGTAACTCAGTGTAACTTTTTTTTTTCTGTACAAATTTGCCATTTTCAGTCATGACTTATTCTAGTTAAAGTATTTTGTTGAAACCTTTGACATTTATGAAGACATAGAGATCAAATTAGAACTTCTGGGCTTCCTTATTTATTTATTTTTATATCTAGTTAATCACTCTGTGTGTTTGTTTACACCCATTGAGATACTGACCTGCCTGTTTTCTAACTTTTGTGTCCACTCTGTTCGCCTCTAAGAGCATAATATCCAGCGGAGCCTTCTACCGGTGGGGATTTTATGCTCCTGATGGACCTGGCCTGGATGAGATCAGCAAGCTGGTGGATGCAGGGAAGGTAGCGCTTCAACTTGTTACTCATCATACATAGTGGTCATTCAGTGCCACTTACACCGACCAAATGAAGGCCTCTCTTTTAATTATCAGTCACAAAGTGAAAATCATGCACAGATGGAGATCATACTATACATCATATTGAATATGGACATACCATGGATTACATTCATGTCTGTGTTTAAGGCTCCCCCTGTGGCTTTGTCAGGGAGTGAGCATCTTGTTGTGCTGTTTAGTTGGTTGCTGGTGTCCATGGTTGGCTGCTGTGCGACTGAGTCAGGCGCCAGGAGATGGTGAATGGATTTTTAAACAGTGATGAGCAGCCAGTTGCAAAAGCATGTGGGACCTTTGTCCTTTTGTCCTGGGGCTTACAGCCAGCAGCACGCTCAGGCCAGTGGCGGGAAGGTGCAGACACACGGCCCCCTGTACAAACACACCCACTCTCTCTCCGTGTCCTGTTCCCACTGTGACGCAACTGTGGTCCTCTTTCATTGTTAATGACAAGAGATGCTGACCAAAATAACAAGCCTGGCTGCTCATGTTGTGGGACTGGCACAGGTTTGTTCAGCCTCATCACATTCTGAGCCCCTCCCTCACCTTTTCACATTTGCACTTCTGAAAGCAGAGATGATGCAGTATTAGCATTAGATCTGGGTCTGGTGGTTTTGAAAATAATGCAGTTATTCATTTTGTTTGGTTTAGAGCACTTAACGCATGGAGTGTACACCATCAGCCCAATTTAGAAAATACATGTTACAGAAAAATGTGTGGAAATGCTGTGAATACTAATTCTGTTTTATAATGACGTAGTCTCCCTATCCATTGGCTCAACCTATTAAAACAAAAGCCAAATACTATTTATCCCATCTGATTTGTTAAGTTTATATTTGATCTCTTTCACTTGTTTCCTGACTGTTGTCTTTGAACTGATATTCCTAATATTTTTTTTTTTCCCCCATCACAGATCCTGCCAGTTGTGGAGGCGCAGTTTCCATTTACCCAGGTGCCCCAGGCTTTTCAGAAGTTAGAACAGGGCCACGCCAGAGGGAAGACGGTAGTCAGGGTGGCCGAAGAGGACGACAGACAGGATGATGAGTTAATAGAGAATATTCGCAGAGACACTGCAGAGTCAGAGCAGGAAGGCCAAGAAACAGCCAAGCAAAATTAGAAGCAATAAGAAGGTGCCAAGGGAAATAAGCTTCTGCGATTTTTCTCACCTTTACAGGGCTGCTCTTGACAGTGTTGTCCAAACAGATCAGAGGTGCTGCAGTTCCTACTGGCTTGATCTAAGCTTGTAACGGGAGCATGCCAAAGGCTACTGTTCTTTGTTAAAACATACACCTTCCTGTACTGTCGAGGGTTTCACAAGGTGCTGGAGTAGTGCAGCATTCATGTCGTGGTGAAGTTACTATAATTAAAAACCGCAGACTACAAAATACCATTCAGGTCAGCAGACAGCTGGTAATTATAGCCAGGCTTTTGTTGGCTTTCTGCTTACAGTCCAACAAGGAGTTGGATAGTAAAAGTGTCTGTTACAAACATAGTAGGAAATGTGTGGCAGCAGATGTGCTGTTCTCCAGTACTGGGTGAAGCAGAAACACCACCATCAGACAGGTAACTATCTGCACTGCTTTGCATTTTGACAATCTCCATGGCGAGTTGCTTTACAAACGCCATGAGCACTTGCATTATGTCTACGCTCTGTAGATGCACTGTACAGTAATCTCAACATGAAATATCAGGTCAGCAGTTGGAGAACAACAAATAATGAAACACATGCAGCTCATTTGACTGTGCAGTGTATTTAAGAAATTTATTGACAAATGCTGTTTGTTGAATAGATTTGATTAAAGGAAAAAAAAGACATTTCAAAGAGTTTTGTTTCTCCATGTTGCATGCAGCTGGAATATGTATTGTATAACATGACATTGCATAAAAAGATATTAAAAAGTGTTAATACTGTTTAAGTTAATTACATCAGGAAAACAGATTTATTCAATGAGAGAAAATATAAACCTTTGCATATATTAATAGGAATGTGAAAGTATTTCAAGTTCAGACTCCACTTGTATATTCAGTGAGTAGTCGTACATTCTTATGGATTGACCCATAGATCTCCACTGGACCTTTATTGTAGTTCTCCTGCACCTTCAGTGACGTACCTCGTCCTTGAGCGCTTGTTATGCAGCTGTATAATAAAACCTCTAGAGACCTGTACCTCTGATGATATTAGGTTTCCAATTCAGTTTGTGTGTTTTCAGATAATTTCCACTTGCCACTGTTGTTGGGGTTTATTTGGATCAAGTGTGTTCAGAATCACTTGGTTTTTGTCGTAGTGTACCCCCCCTGAAAGTGAGAGAGGTTTTCCAGTTATTTCATTATTATTGATAACATTCATATATGGTCAAAGATCATGAGGAATTTAAAAACCATATTGTTTAGCCTCTGATTATATGATGATATTTCACATAAAATTTTCATCTAGGATACTATACATCTTAGTGCAGTGAATTATTTATTCCACATTATGTGATTCTGTCCACAAGGTGTCACTAATAGACAGTGATGCACACCAACTCCCTGGCTGAAAATACCCACAAGAATTGACACAAGGTGACCATTCTTACAGTCAGTCATGTTAATAATACTGATACTAGGTCCTCCCCAGATACATACATGAGAGGGTCAGAATATTAGGAACACCTCTGAATATAATGTAGTCCAGTACAACAACACCTTTAACTATGACCTCAGTAATAAACACCTTGAAATAATTAACTGTTAGTGAAAGCTTTCTGATATCTGGGTCCTAATAAGGTTAGCAGCTATTAGTACTAACTAGTCATGGTCATGTATGGATGCTCACCTTTGACATCTAGGACCAGATCAGTGGTGGGGGAGTAGCGGATAAAGCCCTCAGGGGTAATACTCCAGAGGTGGATACCTGGCTCCGGGGTGAGGCCGACGCGGCTTCCTGCCATTGTTACACTACCACTGGGGCTCAGGCAACAGTCCTCCAACAGCTGGACACACAAGTATTGTTGGATTGGCCAGTCTTTAAAAAGTGTCTATTGTTTTATCTTGATCCTTCACATAGCAACAATTTATACCAGACCAATGGACATGATTAAGATGGTCTGAACTACAGATATGCTGTACCCTTTTTTTTCTATCATTGCTCATTCATAAAACTATTCACAGGACAAACTTTCCTTGACCTGTGGCCCTGATTAGCAGTATGATAATGGTACTGTACTGGTACCTTGCAATGGAGATGTCCATTGTGGTAGAACCAGATCTGCTCAAATCCATCGGTCTCCTCTGTTTCTTGGATCCGCAGCAGTTTGACATCATCCAAAGTGCCAGTCACTGACATCATGAGGCCCGTCTGTCTGTTTCTTAAACGGAAGTGCACTTGCTTCTGCTCAGAAAATGCATGCCAAAACATTGAGGAAGAAAAGATGTTTAATACTGTGGCCATCAGGATTAGTTTGTCTTTTACTTAAAAAAAAAAAAAAAAACAACAAAAAAACTTTGTATTTAACATCTCATTCAAGCTTCTCACAGACCTCTAGCATGTAATTACATTGATTGTTTCAGTAATTACAGTATTAACTACTGCAAAGGTCCTAAGTGTAATGATGACAAAATTATACTATAAGCAGGCTGTTGTGGTTTGCCTGAGGCTTTCAGGCATCCATTAACAAGACAGATGCATTTGAAAGTATAATTAATGGGATTTGTGTGCGAGTGTGTATTTTGTTTCCAGATGATTCTCTGCTGTTAGTTGCAGGAACTGACGGTAGATGAAGGTACATTTTGTACACATTCAAAATATTTAAAGCAAATGCTTATGTATATTTCCATGTTTGTTATTTGCATATTTTCTAAAGCAGAAAGCTGAATGGTTTCTTTTGCCCACTGGAGTGTTAGAATATACCTGTATAAGAGGCCGGAGGGACCCAATTTTCTTCCAACTGCTGAACTTGGGCCAATCTGGAATGTCACCAGGTTTCAGTAAAATCTGAGCACCCCGATAGTTGATTCCCTCATATAATACCCACCTGGCAGTAAAGAGAAGACACAAACGCAATCATGTTTTACATTTTAAACAGCAATACTAAAATGGTATTTACATTGTAATGGCTGTTTGGTTTATATTCACATCCTGGTCTTTTTGATTTGCAGGTGAATTTTTAAATCCTCTCTTCCATTCTCCACCTTGCTAAAAATAATCCAAAATATGTGGAGCTTCGAAACTGTCCACTTTCACTGTGGCACTGAGCACTGCTTTTAACTTGGGTCTCAGTGGCTGTATTCTTTGGCTGATTGCCTGTTTCTTCTACAGCATGAATGCCACTCCAGAGACAGCTCTGGCTCACAGTGAGCCCTTTATTTCCTCAGCATGGACTCACACCTGCAGTCTGAATGTCACACATCAGCAGCAGTTTTCTATCATCACTCCATCTGTCAGCACCGTCCGACTATAATATAGATAATATGTGCTGACCCTGCACTCTGAATTCAATTAATCTGAATCTATGACACATAAAGCCTGAGCATTCTCGTCCAAACTGCTTCACTTGCAGTCTTTAGCAATACAGCATCAGACCAAATGTAAAAATCACAGCCAAATCAACAGAAAAGAAGAAGATATTTATTTAGACACACAGCCTTGACTTTTAACAATGAGTTGTTATTATAGTACTGTCATAAAGGATAATACAATAGATGCTAGAAAGCTTAAGAAAATATGAGACATGTCAGCTTGGCAGTTGGTAACACCTGACTTCATCCACTGTCTATGCCGCTTATTCTTGAATAGGGTCATGGGGGGGCTGGAGCCAATCCCAGCCGACATTGGGTGAGAGGTGGGTTACACCCTGGACAGGTCGCCAGTCTGTCATAGGGCTGACACTTAGATGAACAACCACACACACCCCTAATTTAGAGTCACCAATCAGCCTAAGCTGCATCTCTTTGGACTGGGGGAGGTAGCCGGAGAAAACCCACACAGGCACACGGAGAACATGCAAACTCTACACAGAAAGGCCCCGGGTTGGCTGGGGCTTGAACCCGGAACCCTTCTTGCTGTGAGGCAACAGCAAGCTGATTTCAAAGAAGATTAAAAGACAACAGGGACTTAGGCGTGCTGCTGCTGAGAACCAGCAGTGGCCACTGAAGACGTGAAACATAAAGGATTTTGTTTCTCAGTCCTGACAAAAGAAATTGTTTTGACATCACTGTGGGCTCAGTTTCTGGGGCTGTTATTCTTGAACCTGTCAAACTCACACTAGGCCGAGATCTGGTTGTAATGTACTCACATGCCTCCTTCCACCAGCATGGACTGGACTCTGCTACAGCCACAAGCCAGCTGAAGGTTGACTGATCCGTCTGACAGAACTACCCTCTTTCCCCGCAGACCACAGCGCTCGAAAAGCGTGATGGATGGCAGTGAGAACTCCTGCCACAGAGAGAGAGAGGAATAGAGAAATTAATGGAAGGAATGGAGAGAGCAGAGAGCTGCAAATCATGCAGGTTGAAATTATTAGTTTATTTTTGAGGTTACCCTGGAAACGGACTACACTCACCTCTTTGTGCTCCTGTAAACTATAACACCGGGGTTGTTTTCTAAATCTACACTCACACTGTAGGCCAGTAGTAGTGACTCATTTAATAGCAGATGGCAGTTTTTATGTAGACAATGACAGTTATGATGAAAAGAATTTTCACATTAGGTGTCTTTCAGGTTTAGTATATTTCCTTTCCATGATGCTTATACAACTTCAGCCGTAATTATTTGTAGCATTTAAATGTACGTAAAGATCTTGGAATCTGTCTTGATGTTGTGTAAACTAAATTTGCATGGCCTTGCAACAGTTGCTTTTGTTTAGTCATTTAGCAGACAGCAATATCAGCTAACAATGCTAATGGGAGCAGGTGTTAAGGCATCAAAAGAATGAAACAACTTACAAAGCCAACAGTCTGTAGTGACAAGATGGAGGGGCTCGCATTAACACAGCCCATTGCTCTCAGATCTGGGTAGCTCCCCACTTCTAAAACATACATCCTGCCAGTGAAGTCCAAGCCCTCAAATGCCATCCAGCTGAATCCATTTGCATACAAACACACACAGGAGAGGAGCACAAAATCAGACCCACATTCTGGATAAATGAAGAAAGATGATCGCATGGACAACTGTTTATACAATCTAGGTTTCTATCCAATTACATGCTAGCAAGAAAGTGAATTATAGTATGTATGACTGCTAGATTATTCATGCTTGAAAATGCACACTGTGTTCTTATTTATGCACAGAGCTAGAAACAAATGACATTTACAGAGATGCTGCATTATAAAAAAATGCAAGACATATAGTACAGTTTTCACAAGCAGCTGCCATATGGTATATTTTTAGTAAGGGGAGCAGTGAGAGTGTGCAGCAAATCCACAGAGGGCAATAAGTAGCTACAATTGTTTCAGATAACCACTGAGCAACCCAAAAGAACCTATTCCTAAAATTGGCTGCAGGATGGTACAAAGCGTTTCAGACATCTATGATGTAGTATTTTCTCTACAGGGGTTTAATATTACTCACCTGCCAGCTAGAACCTTACAGGAGGCCACAGAGAAACCGCCCTGCAGGGAGGCCACGCTGTCCTCCAGAATGAGGACAGAACCTTGAAAACCAGGCTCAGAGAAAAGCTGCACCTGAGGCACATACAACAAGATAATAAGCATGAGTCACCTATCCTGAGTTCCTCAGACACACTATCAGATCGCAGCAAAATTAAATTAGTTTTTTTCATCTTTTTCAATCACCTACCTTAAACTTGGCTGCATTCTCAAAATCGTCCTGAAATGAAACTACAGATTAATGAGACTCATTTACAAGCACTGGACCACAACAGGGAATAATTGGAAAGGCTTTATCTGCATATTTCTGTTATATTAAACCCAACAATAGTTCATTATTTCTTTGCTTTATGATTGAAGCCAAATTATGAACTGTATTAATGGTCTTGCATTTTGTCTTATAACTTTAGAGGCAAAGGATTATAATTGGCTTCTGAGTGTAGCTGCAACACAGATTTGAACTCTACATTATTTTAACGTGCGATTTTGCAGTATTGAAGTGGCTGCCCTCTTCTCACTTCCCCTGATAGTTCCAGTTTGGCTAATCATGTGTTTTTGTTGCATGTGATCAGTCATGACATTCATGCTTGTGACCAAATCCAAATTTAAGGCGGAAAGGAAGGATCTCTGGGGGGACAGGCAAACCATTATACAGTAGATCATCTTTGGGAACATGTGGTCGAGGCAAAGCAAGGCTAAATTGGTCTGGCCAGCGTAAGAGAGGAAAATACTTGTCATAAGACTAGAAGTGAAAACATCTTGATGTGAGTCATCATGAAAATGCTTCGGTTTCAGATCATATGATGACAAACAGACATACAGTGCAGTGAACGTGATTACCTGAAGCTCAAGCAAAAAACACTGGTTGTAGCAGTCATCAGATATAAATCCTCACTCTCACAGCACCCTCTCTCTAATAATGATGTTATTTTCCTCCAGCAAGTCACTGAGTCATTGTTCTTACCAGCATGACTGGCATCGCTGAGGCAACTCTGGGCTGTAAAGACCCCCAGTCCTCTGGGCTTCCATACAGGCCCTTCTCCAGGATGTATGACTCACCACAAAAGCCCGGCTCTTCAAACACAACCCAGCTGAAAAACAAAGCAAAAGAGAAGAATAATCACCTTTAAATTCTACAATGGCATTTCAAAATTGTATTTTCTCCTTTTTCATTGTATCTTAATTAGCAAACACAGTCTTTGATGCATCCACGCTTGGTAACAAGAAATGCCCAAGAATCCAGTGAAAGTGTTATTCATTTGTCTTTTATGCCAACAAGTCTTGGTCAGAGCCCAAGTTGATAACAGCCTCCCACATGGTGATTCTCAGAAGCTATGTACTGTATTTCTTCTCTAGGCACATGTGGCATGTCCTGGGCAGCTGAGAGAATGCATGTCATAGTCAACAATTGGTGTATTTCTGTTCCTACAACAGACAGGGCTTTATTTGCATTCGTGGGCCAGTGTGTCGTCGTGCGAGTACAAACAAGTCTCTCTTAGCAATTCTAAATCAACACACTGAGCTAATAGGTGGTGCAGAGTGATGCAGCATGACAAGGGTGAGGCTGTGCAATCTAAGAAAAAACCAGCAGCACAGCAAAAATAATGCTTAAATGTTGTGAGAGTCCTGCCTCCTCAAGAAGGACAACGTGTTCCACTCCACATTATTCCCCATTTTGTTAGCTCTCCCCTGCATGTCATTATCATGATTCGCTTCTGATTTTGTTTACTTCTGCATTTTTGCAGCTGATGATAATGTCAAGAAAAGGAAACACTGAGGGAACACAGCCACTGCCTGGATCTTCTACTTTTCCTACAGTATGCAATGATAAAGACAATGAGACAGAACACACAAGTGAACACATCCAATTATAAATTACATTCCTTATTAGCAGTGTTCAAGCATCTAGGCGTGCCACCTCAACACCCTACATTTATTATCATATTTATTCCCACTGCAAAGGGGTGGGAGGTGGCATGCTCTGAGACCAACTTAAGTCAAAAGGCAGTGGGGTGTGGCAAACTAAACAACAGTGAACTAGGTATTCTGTCTCAACCTGTCAGATTAGGTGTGGCAGCCTTACTGCCATGCACCTGAGCAGCAACAAACTGCAATGCACTTTACTGGAACTGCAGCTAATTATCAGGTTGACACATGGGAATGCATCTTAAAGGACACACTACACTGTAAGGTGTCATCTGTAATTAGTAGCTGTGCTTGTAGGGAATCAAGCATACATCATTAGAAACATACCTCAGGTGTTACAGTGGAGAGTCAGCTGAAGAATCCCAGCAGACAGATTTGATCTCAATTACTTACAGAGAATTAATAATGCTGTGAACTCTTATAACCTTTCAAATCCAATTACTGCTCCCACAGAAGTGAAGGTTACAGTGTTAAGTATAATACTTGTCACTTACACGCCACCGATGACATCAACAGAGTGCGTCTTTATGCCATAGTCAGTATCATCCATGTTAATAACAGGTCCTGTGAGGTCGATGTTGACTCCCAGTCTGCCGAAATCTCTGTCAGCGAACATCTTGAGGTGTGGAGACATAAAATCCTGTGACAGGAATAAGATCATCTGATGAAAATCTATTGAGTAAATTGAACCAACAAATGAGTATTCAGAAAACAAGTCATCGCTGTGTTTACTTTATGGTTTGACTAGTATGTACTGTAGATCAGTTTACTCAGCATGCTGATATTGAGCTGTTTATGACAGACGGCACTGTCCACAGCTAATACTGTGAAGTTTATTCCCTTACCACACCTTCATATAAACAAAACTGTGTCTTTCTTTACTTATTATTTATTCAACACTGACTCATTTCTCCATGAAAAGCTTTTGTAAAGCTCAGAGATTAGTCAAATCTTCCTGCTTACTAACCTATGCACTGTTAGATGTTTGTTCTCCCTTGGTTTTACTGAATTTATATTGACTCTTCATCATGAGAAAAATAAACATTTCTGGGGTGAAGAAAGACGCCTTTCCATTTTTTAATCCTAGCTGTGACCTTGGCAAACCAAGGCTGGGCAAGCCATAACTTAAACATCCCACCACAGTTAATATTCATCACATACTGGTTTCCAGTGAGTTAGCACAGCGTTGTACTTACAGCCAGTACTGGTCGCAGCGACAGGAGCTGTGAGCCCCCCCAGTCACTGCAGTCCAGGTACTCTCCTTCCTCCAAGATGTACTGCTGGCCCTCAAACCCAGGCTGGCTGTAACCTACCCAGCTGGAACAAGAGAGCAGCAGAGATATTGCTGCTTTGAGCTGTATTTGTAAATCATGACTGCATTACAACTTGACTGTTTGTAAGCAAAGAGAATGAACTGCAGTATGGTGCAAGAGAAAAATGAAGACTCACAGTCCTCCAATGATCTTTAAAGAACCCACTGACTTCAGTTCCTTTGAGTTTGCTCCATCTGTGGCACTGTCATGTTCACCTTCATATAAGCTGAACATTTCACTGTTGATTTCCAAACAAGGGCCCTCAAAACAAGGCTTCTCATACACGGCAGCCTGTGATATGAAAGGACAGAGCTTCTATTACACTTGACATCATTTATATTGTTTAAGAATTTAGAAGTGTTTTACACATAGAAGGACACTCGTTGACACTGCTATTAAGTTGCACATATGGTATATTATTTATTATTAGATCTTTTGGTTTGTGTAATGTGTGAGTAATACTTTTTTCTTTATGAACATGCAGCACAAATGATGAAGCAGAAAACATGTCCTTCATCTGTTATAGGCAGAACATTATGACTATATGGATTTCTGAACACGTTTGCTGCCAAAGTGCACTGTGGTGACACTGGAGGTTCTTTGACATTTCCATATTTTTTGACTTGAAATAAATAAACAAAACTGAACCACTGAACGGAAAAAGGAACCAAAGAATGCAAAGCACAATCCCAGTAGGCCTGTTATAAAACTTGTTTTCCCACAGTACAATAATCACAGTATTACTGCATCACTTCATTACTTTATGATTTATAGTGTAGATGTAACATTACTTATATTAACATTAACAATATTAACATGCATGAACGAAGCCTCTAAAAATGAAAACTCATCAGGATGGAGGATACATACCTTGGCGTCACTGGGATTCTCCACTTTGAAACCACCCTGGAAAAAAAAAACATCATCAACAAGCATTTTATTCTCTAATTACACAGTAAAAATCAAGACAGTCAGCAATTAGGCTAATAATTCTATTTTCTTAATTCTGTTAAACAGTGATGAGGAGAAAGGAAAATTAACAGACACAGAACATGTTGACCTGTACTTCTGTCCCTGTGGGTAACTTGTTAACGCAAATTCTCCCACTGACTATTTTTGCACAGACGGTGCCAGACAGACGTTAATCACACAGCCAGTTCAGAAACTTACAAAGTCACAACAGTGAACTGCTTTTAAAACAGGAATTTTACTAGAAGAATGTTAATGACAGGCAAAAAAAATATGTAAAAGTCAAGTGGAAACAAGAAGAGTGCAAAGTGCCCTGACTTTACTGGCAAACACTAGCACGTTAACATGCCCGGTTACTGCTAAACATGCTGATGCATGGGAATGCCATTTTTGCAGGTATGTGGTCATAAACCAAAGCATTTAACATTCTGATTTGATGAGCTCACTAGAGGAAACGTCAAGGTCAGTGCAATTTAATCTGAGGGGAACCATGGCAACCCACTGAATAGTTGTCAACACATTTCATTCAAACCAATAGAATGACTAGGTGATTAATCGATTAGTCATTTAATCTGATAACTGAATATTTATGTTAAACACTTATTAAGTAAAAAGGCAAAACATTTGCTGGTTACAGTTTCTCAAAATTTGGATTTGATGCTTCTTTCTGTTGTACGCGATAGTAAACCAAGTTTTGGACTGTTAGTTTGTTTCTAAGAAATTATAACAAGCATTTGTCCATTTTATAACATTTTATAGATTAATGATTAATTGATGGAGAAAATAATTAGCAGACTAAGCCTGTAGTGACCTTGAATATTATTACCAAGGTAATCCATCCAAAGACCTGGATTCCTCAAAGTAGTAGGCCTCATCATCTGTGAACCATTTAAGTATGTAAAAAAATGTCATGGCAATCCATCCAACTGTTGTCGAGATAGTTTGGTCAAAAGCAAAAAGGTGACCCAACATCCACATTGCTAGCAAGGCTGAAAATAGCTAATTAATTTCTCACACTTGTGAACTACCTTCTGAAGTTTAATTAGATGTTACACAGAAACACACACCATTTTAAGTGGTCTAAGAGATCCCACGAAGGGTGAAGGGAAGCCCCAGGTCTCAGGTAAAGGGTACACGCCTGCCTCTAGCACAGACAACATACCCTGGAACCCTGGGTCACTGAACACCAGCCACCTGAGGGATGAGGGAACACCCATGTTAATTAGGCTTTAACCCAAAAGGTCCCCCCACATAGCAGTAGGTCTAACTGTGCCTCTGGGTGCGTTTAAATATCACTGAGTCATGACCTTGCATGGAGTGTTAAAGTGGATATTCTCTAACTACCTCTGAAATGACTCATGCAACTAGAGAGAGAGGAGAAAAATGCCATTCAATTTTATTAACATCTTGGAAATGGCATCCTTCAGTTCAACCCAATTCTTAACACTCCCTCTTTGCTGTGGGCAGCCTCTGTTGAACTATGCCATAGCACTGGCATTCATCCTTCCCTCAACCCTGACCACTCCACTTGACCCTGCCGCTGAGAAGATGCTGCCACCACCATGATACAAATAGCTATTTGTGCAAACAAAAGGGTTTGAATTATTTCTGAAGCCACTGTATGTAATAATACACATGAAGGGAACCAATCAGTCAGCTCGCTCAGTGAAAGTCAGACTTCAGTGAACTCAACTGAATGAGGTGCACATAGCTATTAATTTCTTACATACAAAACTGTCTTCTGAACAGTGGCTCCACTTGTTTTACAATGTAGCTGCTGTGGCAGATTAATTTGTAACTTAGCAGTGAAGAGCTAGCATCTGATATAAGTGAGTGGGACATGAGATGTTGAGAAATGCTGAAATAATTTCCAGAATGTCAACAGCCTGCCAAAGCTGCCAAAGTAAACTTACAAAAAAAAAGGGGCTGTGGGAAATGGTCTACTGTTGTTCACTTCCTCGGGGGCAGGGCACAAAAAGTCTTGAATGCCTACACCTCTCACATGGAAAAACAAATTCTCTCCACACTTTTGTCTGTGTCACACTCTCCATCTAGTCTCCACCTCTCCACATTTTCCAAGTGCCCCCACACCCACTCTCTCTCTCTCTCTCTCTTCTCTAACAAGCATCAGCAGGACAGACATTCCTGAGCAGGCACATGAGTGAGAGTTGAACCAAACACAAAGATTTACACCGAGGAGAGTAGTAATGATTGTTACCTCTCAGCTGCTTGTCAACACTGAACAGTGACAGTACCTTATGAAGACGACAGCTCTACACTGAGCGCAACAGGCACAATTTCCAAAGTTTACCCTTCTAGCGAGTCTGCCAGTCATTAGCTGTACAACAACCACTGCAGAAAACTGGAATAATCTCGCTGCTTGCACTTGATGATTTGCTGCTGACATTACTTCTTTGTTCTTTAGTGCCTAAATGTATTGTAATTCAAATAAAACGTAATCCTCAGCTAACCACCCTTCTACCCCCTCTAATCGATCGCAGTAAGTAGAATGCGTGACCATTTTATGTTGTCAGCTGGTCCATTACTGCTACGCATGCTTTACCAGAGGTCAAATGCAATGATCTGAACCATCTGTTTTACTGAAACAGCTATACTTACACCCCAGAGTGCACTTGGATGGAGGCAGTGCTCAGTGGGATGCCAAATGAGCCTGTCTCTATTGTGTCATCATGGTAAGGTGTCACTCTGCCGTGCCCCTCTGGTTCAGTAAACAGATCGATATGGGGGATGCTGTAATCCTGCACAGGGAAACAAACACAGCGGTTATCAGCAGTGGCTCATCATTAAATCATTCCTCACAATAAAAATAAAAGATCTTAACTAGTTCCTTCTGGAGGAATACCAATGTAGCAATATCGCTTGTTAGCTGTATTTCAGAAGGCCATGTGAGGTGACACTGATAGATACTGGGATACCGAAGGCCAGATGAGGTGAAGTGTTTAAATCGGCGCACTCACTCTAACAACAAGTCGAATAGAGCCGATCAGCATTGGTGGGCTGTTGTGTGGTTCTGTTTCCAGCCCAGACTCTGCCCACACATTTGTCAATTCAATGCCACCTTCTTCCAAGGCGATAGAGCGTCCCTGATAGTCAGGCTTCTCATAAAGAATCCAGCTGTAGTGAAAACAAAAAATATGTAATGTATAAAATCATATGGAAGAAAAAGATGATAATATGTTAAAAGAAATGAAGCAGCAGAACAAATGTATTCAGAATAAAAAGTCTGTTTTAAAATTCTTTTTAGCAACACACTTATTTGCTAAGGGGCTGCTCTCTGAAGCACTATGTTATATACAGTATATGGATGGATGGATTGTTGTTTTCTGAATGTATGTATATGCATTTTAGGATGACTATTGTGGATGGGATTCTTATATTGAGTAGATAATGAGATAATGAATTCTTGCTGCAGAGGTTATTCAAAATATTAATCTGTAAGAAATTATATAACTAAACCTTTTGCCACATTTTTCATTTGCATATACAGTATGCAGATGATGGGATGCATATCCCTGCTAGTGCTTTCCCACAACTCCATCAATATACAGATGGCAGTACCACGCCAAGAAATGCAGCTATGTTGCAGGAAAAGAAGGGGAGAGGAAGACTGCTAATGAGGAAAACATGGATCTACATGACAATGCAGATTTCGTATGCATGATTTATGAGGAAGGAGATGCATTCAACACATTTGCCAGGCCTCAAGGATATATGCAACTTGTTTTGGTGAGTAATACAAGAAAACTCCACAGCACCTTTAATGAACAAAGCGTGAAGGAAGTAATTAAGTGCAGTTACCAAGTGTGGAACTCTCAATACTGATACTTCATTAATTTAAACCCCATCCACGAGTCCTAACGACCACGGTGACATTTCATAGTCGCTTGACATTACTTCACATTTTCCTTCCATCATTTAAAAGTTTCAGCTGAAAATTGCTACTTACCATCCTCTAATAACTTTCACAGATATGAGAGGGGAGAGCTTCAGAGAAGTAGCATCTGCAACATCCCTGTAAATCTCACAAGACTGGCCACTGAACTGAGCCTTCTCAAACAACACCATCTGTGTAGAGACATGAGGGGTCGGCCATTAAAAGAAATAATCGACTGCAAACTACCTGCTTACTCCATGATGTTAAATCTAAGATGGAGCAATAGCTTGGCTTTTTACTTGCTTTCTCTTTTATTCAACAGTAAAAAGCACCTACAAGCACACAATTAAATGAACTACCAGGTTATAGTGTTAATGTAATGCTGCACTTTAATAGAAGAACTGCATTTTTGTTCTGTAGACCACAACTGTTTTATAGGCTTTAAAATCCGCTGGACTGAATGAAAACAATGTGTAGGCAAGAAACTGAAAATGTTGCAACTACTAGCCTATAATTAAGTTCTAAAATAATGAAGAGCCACAGTTGTTGTACTGTGTTGGCAGCACTGAATATGATGTCTGTAATCGGATCCATTTGCACTAGAATGTTTTTAATTTGCACAGAAGAACACCATATGAAAAGCAGATGTTTTCAGAAAACATGATTCCTCTCCATCTTGTTTCTATTCTATGTGGGCAAAGCTGTGCCTGCCGTACCTTTCCAGGGCGCTTGTGAAATCCTCTGACAGTTCTTATCTGGAAAGCAGAAGTACAGAATTATCAGAGCAATCATGCAGAGCATGGAAAGCATCTATAAAATGCAAGAGGAGCTCATCTGCATTTGTTTGTGCAGCAGCTCTGTGCCTGTTGAATACCCTGACCTTTCAGTTTACCTCCATGGACACAGTGAGTCCATGGAAACTAGGCTGTCTTACACACCAGCAGAAAAAAATCTGTTTACAGCATGTTCACACAATAGGCACCTTGTGAGACAGCAACAAATATCAGCAAACAGATCTAGTAGGGTAACTAGAAAGCTTGCAACATCAAATCAGTAACAATTTTGTTAATCAGTTTATAATTTAAGGATTTCATTGACGTGAATATTTGCTAGGTTTCTTTCTGGTCCTCTAGGGACAAAAGCTAAAACTATGCTAAACATTTTTCACAGCTTTAAAACATTTTATCAATGAAACTGATTACTGAGAAAATAGTCAGCACATCATCAAAAAATGCTAATGCTTTATCTCACAGGGCTGTAATGTCAGTGTTATGGTTTAGTCCCCCTCACCAGGAGGGTGAGGGAGAACTGAGGTAGGACTCAATGTGCAAGACCCAGGTGCTAGTGCAAAAAAAGGTGGTTTAATGGAAAAAAAACACAAACAAGGTAACAGAGTCAATGTATGTAGCATAATCAGGCTGGACAGTACAAAAACAGGGTAGGGCAGAGACGGCTGAGGAGACCAGGACAAACAGGTGAGTGGACAAACTAACGGCAGGAACCAGAAGAATAGGAGGATCAGGACAGACAGGTGAATAGACAAAGTAACCAGGAGGACTGGCGAACAAAAAAGAAATCCACAGCACAGGAACTGTCAGCATGGAAATCTAAAAGACGTATCTGTATACATAGTTATGTAGTTCTTTCGGTAATGCTCCAGCGACAATGGAGCGTCTGCCAGAGGTATAAATAAGGTCAGAAAATAATTACAGTAATGCGCCTCAGCTGTGCGCGACAACCCACAAGTCACTAATTACAGAATGCGACACAGCTGAGGCGCCAATCCCGCAAAAAAGAGCGAGCAGGAGAGAGAAAGGCAGAAGAGAGGCAGGTTGTGCCCAGCTGACCTGACAGTCAGAAGATTTGCTCCTAATTTCCAACAGGTTTTCTAAAAAGAGCTCATTTGGCATTTATAACTTCAAAGGGCTCGATCAGTAAACCTCCAGTTAATTAACATTCTTAAGCCTTTTAGTCAGTGTGCAGCAGGTCAGCTGAACAGAAACTTGTCTACAGGCAACGGCAATTCAGAATGCAAGCAGAGCAAACACTTCTCATCATAAATGACTACTGAAAAAATATTTACTTGGATTCAGTAGAGCAAGTTGTCCAAGAAAATGAACATTTCCCCGATAATTACTACCATATTACATAGTTTAGAACAGTCTTTTTTTTTTACCAGCTCAAATGAAATCAAAGGGACAAGCAAGAAAAACTGTTAAATCTAAGAGAATCTTCCAATCTGGTAATGATACCTGATACCAAAATGCAAATAGGATGAAAAACGTTTTCCCATTAAAACTGTAGGTGGAGCACAATAAGGGGAAATGAAGGTTATATAAATAGTTTCTAGCACACCTGTCAGTCTAACCTCATACAATACATGTACGTCAAACACGTGTGACCAGTATCCTTTAATAGTATGTATGCAGCACACTTACACTCTTACTAACTGTGCCCTGTGGCTGAGCTGGAGCCTGCTTAAGCTCAGGGAGTGTAGGGTGTGTGGTTGGAGGAATCCCAGGAAAACAAGGAGGCACAGCATTAGGCAGCAGGAGACCTGGTTTTAAGTACACATCTGATTCCCCTCTTTGGAATGAACTTGTCATTTTTCCAGTGTCCTGATGCATAAACAAACCATCAGGTATTAAGAGTTGTTTACTGTTATTCGCTATTCACAAAATGTACTGCAAATACCTTTATTGTCCTTTAGAAACATGTTAAAAAAGAGCTCTCTGACTAGACAATTTATGTACTCTGATTGTTGCTGTAACTGCTCGGTAGCTTTGCTTCACTTCAACTGTGAAATCTGTGTCTGTGAAATCTGAGTTATAAAGGACAGCTACTCTTCATTGACATTAACATCATTTTCAGGCAGTGAAAATAACAGAGAAAAACGAACCTCTTTTTTGACTTGTTCCTGTCCTATTATGCTCTGCACTGGTTTCGCTGGTTCTCGGGGGAGGTACTTCTCAAAATAGTCCGGCAGCTTGATGTCGTTGAAGGAAGGAAGTGGAGTACCTGACTCACTGACCACAGCCTCTGCAGTCTGGGCTTCCCCCTTGTCGCTAGGAGCAGGGCTCTGTTTGGACAGTATGTCTTTGTTTGGAGTTGTGGCAGTCGTGCTTGGCAGGGGTGGCTGGGATAAAGGTGATGGCGTTAGCTGAGGGGCTTCACTAGGGGACATGTCCCCAGGGCTGGTGCATTCTGCCTGCACTCCATTCTTCTTCCCTCTGTAGCTAGAGGAGGTGAGGCTGCTTAGGACACAGCTCCCCTCTAAGCGAGACTTCACCTTGATCCGATCGTCTTTCTCTTCATTAACCTCCTCCTCATCCTTGACAGGGGAGTTATCCCTGAGCTGAGAGTGAGTGTCGAGGCTACCAAGCAGCATGCTTCTATCTGACAAACTAGCCCTGGTTGGTATTAAGCCAGATTTAGTTTCTACGCTCTGGAGCTTGGCTAAGAGGCTCGGGCCTGTATCTAAAGCGAACTGATTCTTCTTTCTCAAGCCAAACTGAAACTCCTCTGGGTCAAACGTCTTCTCAAAACGGGCCTCCCTGATGGCCGGCAAGGCAAAGGGGGGCTGAGGTGGCCGAAGCTGGCTGTGTTTACGTGGCGGGAGGGAGAAGGGGGCGCATAGTTTTTTGATTTTCTCAACGAAATCATCATCATCTAGCTCGCCAGTGGTGTCCAGAAGATTGCTCTCACTTCCAGAAGAGCTTAATTTGGGCTCTGAAACTTTAAGCTTCCATTTGGGAAAGTCTACATCTAGCCAGCTAGAGGGGGCGTCTTGCTGTTGTGCAGAGTCATCCTTACATAGCCCCAGTGGCAACTGGAGCCTCTTCATGGATGAAGGCTGGATTGACTCTGGGATGGGTCTATTAGCCTCTGGGGAAGCTGCTGATTTTGGAACTTGACTTGGCTTGTTACTGACCAGTTCTTTTTTGATTGGGACAAGTGGATGTAGGGAGGTATCACTATTAGCAGCAGGTGAAAGTTCATTCGCTGATAGACTGAATGTTTCCTCACTTCTTTTCTGTGTCACATTAACCGTGGATTTAGAAGCACTGCTGTCAGTAGGGCTCTGTGCTATTTTTCCTATGCCCTTTGGTTTTTTAGACTCCTCACACTGCGACCGGCTCGGAGCTGCTTTAATTACATCTTCAGTTTTGACTTCTGAGGGCACAGATTTGACAGTTGAGCTTTTTTGCCCATCATCCTGCCCTACTCTCTCACTGCTCACAGATTTAGAGATGGGTATAGGAGCAGGCTTTTTAAGAGACAATTTTTTCTTTGCCACATTTTCAGCCTGTGCAGTTGTCAACACTGGAGCGCCATTAGCAGCTTTTACAGTCACTTCCTCAGCGGCTGGAGCTGCTTTGGTAATAAGCTTTGAGCTTGAGAACTCAACCTCATTAGCTCCATGTGTATGTGTGTCATCCAGTGAATTCTCCCTTTTTTCCACTGATGCAGAAATAGGCTGTGGTTCTGCTGAAATCACCACTGGCTTTATTTTTGTTCCAGTGATTTCTGTAGAGTTTGTTTTCGCCTCAGGAGGCACATTTGTTGCAGTTTCTCCCTTCAAAGGCCTTTTATTATCCTCGGTCCCATTCACGGCCTCATTAGTCTGGGTGATGGCACATATAGCAGCTTTTTCTGGATGTGTAGCTCCTGTTTGACTGACATGCTGTGTTTGAGCAGGGACATCTGATGATCCAGTGGTCTTTGCTAACAAGTGAGAGACCGGTTTTGGTTGGTCGGCTTCTGGTTTTGTTTTATCTTTAATGGGCTGCGTCTCCCCTTTTTTTATAGCATTTTTCCTTTCATCTTCCTTACCTACGCTCCCCTCTGTCGCTGAGACACCTTGTCCTGTGTCTGAAACCTTGCCCTTTGTGGTATTTTTATCTGAAGACAGGAGCTGCTGTGGTTTTTCTTTGTCTTCCTTCTCAGTCTGATTTGGTTTTTCACTCACCACCTTTTCTAAGTTCCCCACACCTTTATTCTCAGCCCGATTTGTTACTTCTGAGTCCTTGTTCTGGGGTTGCAGTGTTTGCTCAGTGTCTTTTTTATTGGGTAGGCTAACTTTTCCTTTACTTTTTGGTTCTTTATCTAATTTTGGATGTTCAATGGGTAATTTCTGCTCCACTGAAGGAGTCTTCTCAATAAGTCTAACTGCAGGTGAGGGGGAGGAGACTGAAGGTTCTTTGCTCTCCTCAGAGGCCAGTTCTCTCTCCTGTGTGAATATGAGACTGTGTCCAACTGTCTTTTCCCTCTTTTTGGGTAAAATAACAGGCTTCTTTGTTCCGCTGTTACAAGCAGCACTATCAGGTTCATCTTTGATGACAGGCAATCCCTCCTGTCTGTTGACCGGTTTGCCAGTGTTCTCCTTCTTAAATGAAGAATCTGTCTTGTTTTCCTCTTTGTCTAACACCTTCAGTTCCTTTGTAAGTGTTTTCTCTTTTGTATCTGCTGATTGTGCTTTTTCTTTGTATTCCTTCTCAGTCTGATTTGCCTCTGAAGTGATTCTTTGGGCTTTATCAGAGGGTAATGAGAGCTTCTCTGTGAGTTGTTTGGAGGGAGAGACAGTTTCCTCTGCACCGTCCACTTGGTCTTGTTTCAAATCAGAGACCTCTGGCTTGCTTGCAGGTTTCGTTTCGCTGTTTGGGCTGAGGGGACTGGTGGGCTCTCTGCTCTTCCTTCTTTTAGACCGGGCGCCTGTCCTGCTAGGGCCTTTGACCTCTGGAATGATTTTAATGGTCAATGCTGAAGAATCTCCTGTTCCTTTAACTGGAACATTTGATTCAACCCTGATGGGTTTTGTACTGTGATCTGCAGTTTTCGAGGCCTCTGTTTTGGTTGTTTTGGAGTCACTTGGTTGTTCTTTATGAACGGACATGTTTACCCCTAGAGCAGTGGGATCTTGTCCGTCTGGTTTTACTGTCATCACTGACACTGCTGTTGCCTGTATGTGCTCTTTAGTATCCAGTTTGTCCTGACTGTCCAGTTTTGTTGACTGTGACACACCGCCTGCCACAGATGAGGTGGATTTCTGAGACATTCCTACCATGGCTGGCTTTTGAGGCAGTGCTGGCTTAGCCTGTGGTACAGATGCTTCTGTAAAGTTCCTTGCTTGCTCTTTGATCAACACCGCTTTCTCCCTGACAGGTGATGCAGAGCTGGACCTAATTGTGCAATAATGCTCAGCTGATCTTGATCTCTGGTCTGACAACATAAAATCTGCTTTCAGCTTGTCAGTAGCTTTCCTGACTGGAGAGACATCAACGCTCCTCGAGGTTTCGAAGGTCTGTTTGTGGCCCCCCACCACCTTCGGCTGTTCAAAGAGGCTGATTCTATCTGCAACCTGGCCAAAAGCTGGTTTGGGATCCTTGTTGGTTTTCAGTTGGTCATGTATTCTGTGTATGACAAAAGACAAAGGTGTGAATTCAGACAATATAACATGTAAAGTTAAATTTTATCCATGCCTCAAAATGCACCATGCTGTTTGCTACAGTAAATGTTAGTTCAATCTGTACAGTCCTAATCATGAGAGATACAGCTGTACTTTGTACTCACGCCATAGTTTCACTGTGGATACACCTGATATTCTAATTAACACTTCTCCAAATACATTAAGGTAAATTTCACTCAAACACACACTGCTCTCCTCTGTCAAATGTTACCTTACCTTGCATCAGTTCCTGTTTTGGGCTTATCCTCTTCTTCATTTTTAGTGTCCTTTAATGTTGACTTAAAATCCAGTTTGTCTTGTGCTGGCCTTTCCCTTGGCTTTAAGTGCACATTTTTTGTAAAAAGCTTCACCTCACTTCTAGAAACCTTCATGCTCAAACGTTTAGACTCTGGTGTCTCTGTCTTTCTCTCTACTTGGTAAAAGCTGTCATCGTCCTCCATGTCTGCATCCCAGCCAAACACACATGCCTGAGTGTCTGCAACGACAGAGTTTGAGTCCTGTCTGAATGTATCAGGGCACCAACTCTTACTTTCCCCTCCTTCAGGTGAGGCCTGAGAGCTGACATTGTACTTGGGGGAGGGGTTTACCGATGACTCTCCTGTGGGAGTTTCTGGACTTTTGCCCTGGGGACTCTTCACTGCGTTAGATGGTGAAGTTAATTCCTCTAGGGCAGGTGGAGTACTGGGAGGGATTTTTTCCTGGGGGCTAGTCCCTCCATCTCCTTGAGAGTTCTTCCTGTGTTTCCTCCTGGCTGCGTTTTTACGTACCATGCTGTCTGGCTCTGTTTGCTCTTTATCAGGTTCAGGCTCTAACTGTGAGTCTTTGCTTAATTTGAATGGCACACCCACTGGAGCACTGTAACTGGTCCTTTGTTTCTCTGCACTTGCTGAACTTGAGATTTTTGACAAATGAAAATCTGGTGGTGACTTTGCCTTGGGGAGGACCTGAAGGCTTTTCGTGACTTCGGTGCAGACAACTTCCTGTCCAGCACAGATGCCTTGGTGAATCACACTAGTCTCCTCCAGGTACACATGGATCCTTTTGCCTGCCTGGGCCTGAGGATGGGTGTGGGCCTGGTCAGAGTCCCATACCACTCCCTGTTTAGGAAACGAAGAGAGATGTGTCAGATGACTGGCATTCTTCTCAAGATTCCCGCTCACTGAAGTACCGTTGCTCCTCTCCTCCCTGCCTTTGCCCTGTCCTGTTCTCTTCTTCCTGCCCTCCACAAACTCCTCCTCTTTTTGATGACGTCTCTCTGCTGTCTCAGTGCTGCTCAGAGCAGAGCTGCGTCTGTAGGCAGAGCTGCGTCTGTGGGCAGACTGCGTGGCGTTCTCCTCTTCACACAGTAAAATGTCTCTGGAGAGACCCAGTGGATTGAGATTGGAGCTCTCTTCTTTCTCCCCCTCCCACTGTTGTTGCCCTGCCTGGGGTCTCACAGACTCCTCACTAGTTGGGGAGGAATTTCCAGTTGGGCTCTTTGGACCCTTTCCCGTCCAGGGAGAAAACCAGCTCCCAATACGTCCCAAGACCCCAGTACTCGGCTGCTCCTCAGGGGTCTCAGCCTAAAGCAAAAAAAAAAAAAAAAAAACACAACAAAAAAAAAAAGAAATAACATATAAACAGTTGCTTACTTTAGCAGTTGCAGTTAATAAACATGCATATTTCAAATAAATATGGGCATACTTGCAAATATCACGCATTGTCTACAAAGAAGGAGTGCAGGCTTGGCATCCAAAGTAAATAAGTAGGGAATCTTGATCACAGACACTTTTTAGCACGGCCATGCATCTCTCAGCATAGCAAAGACATGCAGGAGAGCTTATAACCTGTAAGCTTACCGTAGAAAATACCATATCATTCAGACTCTTTATGTAGGCTGTGAACATGATTTTGGTTTAGAACAAAAACTCCTACAGAGCATAAAACAAAAACAATATCATTCCACCAGGATTAACAATAGCAGTATGAAAGAGTAGAAAAATCTATTTAAAAAAGACACTGCCTTAGCAAAGTGATGGATCCATTCATAACCTGAGAGCAGTATGTTTTGGTTGTAATTTAAAAATCAACTCACCCTTAATGAGACGCAGAGGAAAACTTTTCGCCACCCTCCAACATACAGTATAACCCGCCGAGTTTGTACAGCATAAGATCTGCACTAAGATGCATGGCTAACTGATGCCCATGTCGCCTTACTCTCCTTACATCCAGTGAAGCATCCACAGCCGAAAGTGTGCGGCAGACTGTGGTATTTATGTCTGTGCTGTTTAAGTTCATCACCCACAGCGCACGACACGCAGTCCGGTGGTAAAATGCTGCCTTCAAGGACTCTCTGTAAACCTCTGACACGGGTTTCACTGGGGAGAGCGATTCTCCCACGACAGGCAACTTTTATTCCTTACCTACAGTGTGACTGTATGAAATTGTAAGGCAACGTATAACTGCCAGCATGAGAAAAGATTTTTGGTCTGTAACTCGTTATAACAAGAAAAAGTTGTCGGTATAACGACATACTTTTCTCGTTATAACAATGTTATAGCAGGGTTGCGGCTATACGCTTCAGTCAAATAGACATCTATTGTACATATTGTAAATCAAATAGACCGAATAAAAAAACACCTGAACATTTCATTCTGAAATTAGATGCAAGGATTCTCTATTTAGTTAAGTGACACCGCTGTCCCATCTTTGCTGAATCAACCTTATCCGGTATGTTTGCTCAAGAAATTCCTACATTTATTTTAGCACTTGAAGGCAGCAAGAGCCAGTGTCCAAACAAACTTTTCCAGTGGAAATGACGCACCGACTGTGTGGGTTTCAGAGCCTGTTGAATTCCGTTTTTTTTGGTTTCCAAATCCACGTACCCTGGTTTAATTTGGCGGGCAGCTCAAGTCAGTCTTTCCATGCATCATGTCGGAGAACTTAACTGTTTAACAACCTCTGTCCGGGCACACACGCATTGTTTCGCCCGTTTTTAATCACATAAAGAAACAAGATGAAGGTGATGATCGATCTTTTTCACTTTTCAGTGTGACACAATCCACCCTGCCTGTAGGCGTGTGGGTGGCTCTGCTAATTTGTGGTTTAGAAACCAAATCTATTTTTGTGTCCATCATATCCATCACCATATTTTAGGAATGCGGCGGTTTAGCCGATCCTATAAATTGTTCCTACGCCTGTGTGATTTACAAGTGGAATACAACAGGGATACATGGATGACATTTCGCTTCCTGATCTAATTTGAAACGCTTTCTCACTGGCCACGTAATCACAAGGGAGGTTTAACAAGTTTCTAGACAAACTTATACAACCAGAACACGCCGCCCTGAAGCTTTACCTTGTTATCCAGGCAGTCGTCCTTAAATTGTCTATCGAACGAAAAATCTCACAAGCCCAAAGTTCAGTTCTATACAAGCAGGTCATCAGAGGCACTGAGCAAACTCTTACCATGCTTTCAGTGTTTTTCTTGCCTTCTCAGTTGTCTCGGAAATTAACCGGTCAAATGCTGCAAGCTGCCAAAGCCCTGACAGGAATGAAGGCTTAGAGCGCCACCGCCTCTCTGAGGTGTTCCTCCTCAGACCGAGTAGGGGAGTCTGCTATGCCTAATTAATATTTAGTGCGGTCTAAAACCACAAAATATCAAAGCTAACTCTTGCAGCACGTAAGGTAGATTCCATTTTGAATGTTGCTTTACAGTAGATTTGTTATCCCCCCCCCCAAACAATAATGAGGGTTCTGGTACAGGTGGAATCTGCCCGGGCCAGGTAACACACCCCTAGGGTTTGAACACCTTGACACGGCAGCCAGTTATGGCGGTTTGTTGTGCAATTATGGCAGTTAAAATGCTATGGCATGATGTGGGGCTTTTTTTAAACTGGTCTATTCTTCTATTCTTTTCTTATCCTGCAGGCCCTTCATCTGACCTCAGACCCCACCTTTAAAATCAGCGGAAAGGACTATTCTTATACCTCAAAGCCTTTTATTCGCACACAACAACAGACAACAACAGTGTGTACACTGAACACACCACTGACCTGCACCGCATTCACGAATACATGCAAATACATTCTCCCACTGTGTCTGTCTCTTTCCCATGATTTATTGATGTGTTACAGAAGCTGAAACCTGTCCCACTCTGCAGCCTATGAAAAATTAACACATTGGCTTTCGGTTTTTCTCTTACTGATAGGAAAGCACATGGGCAATGTTGCTAATAATTTGGCTGTTTCATCCAACACCCTTTTTTTATTTTAAGAGAAAGAATTATGGTCTATTTTTATCCCTGATTTCCAAATATCACAGGCACAACGCACATCTAGGTGTGCGTTCAACTGTGCCAGTATCGCAATTATCACTCAGAGCCAGAGGAGTGGAAGTCCAGTTTGACTGGTCTGGAACTAATTAAAGTAATTAATTGTAAAAACGCAGACCTGTCAAAACACTGAGAAAGAAATTTACACAATTTAACATCTTTGCCTCTGCTGCCTTCAAGAGGGAGTTTTACACTGACAATGCAAATGCATGAGGGATGAATCACATATCCTGCTTTACTGAGCATCTTCTATTGGTCACTTGTGCTGTAGTTGCTATACTTTTGTACTGGTTAATGCTGGAAACACTTTACACTACATGCCAGGAATCATTTTCAGCATTTGCTCTGGATTGCATGCATCATGCATATGTAGAAGCTGCTCACTGAGATCTCGTTCTCTCATTCTGTTGCAGCTCCACTGGAGGCATGTGTAAGCACATGCTCTGTTGTTGTTGAGTCAGAGAAACACAGTTAGTCATTCTTTGAATCCAATCAGTTTTAGCTTGCCTGGCAAGATACCAGAACTAAAAGGCTGCTGAGTCTGGACAGGCAGACAGGCTTTAGAAGTTAAGAATATATTTTATGGCTGTTGAAAGCAGTTCATGTGTTGCTTGTAGGAATAGTCTCAACTTTTCAAATTGATTTGTAACCAGTGCAGAATGGCAGATTTCACCTTCATGTATGTCATATTATTAGATTGTAACTATTAGTGTATTATTGTGTAGATCTTATTTAATGTTGCAGCTGCTAAAGGCAGAGCTGGTCTTCTTATAATGAGGCATACAGACATGCAGTTGTAGGTACATTATAAACCAGGCACGTGCACTGCAGTGTTGCTCAAGCACCTGCTCTTTACCCTCTGACTTGATAAATGCCCTTTTTTGCAGGATAGTGATTTTTCCCCTTACCATTTTTAATTTGATATTTTAAATAATTTTCATTGTGGCTCATTGCATACATTTTCAACAACAGTAACTATTAGGCTATGAATTATTTTTAAAGGCATGTTAGGCTTTAACTCATATCAACAAAGAGCTGTGCTAATATGTGATTGCTGCATGTCTGTTCATACTGAGTGTAGCAAAACCTGTAAGTTGTAGCCCAGTAAACGATCCGTTCTTACTCCTGTGACACATGATGTCCAGCAGTCATGTCAATATAACAGTCCAGGACCATTTCAAGGTCACATTTGAAAGCTTAACCTTTCACCTGATCTGATTGTAGTTATATGTTAATAATTTGCCTCGGATCCTTTGCAGGCTTACAGTTCATGTGCTAATGCAAAGATGTACTGCTACTGTTTATTTTATAAATTATTGTTGGTGACGGGTGTGCCCTTTTATTTAGCTTGAACACCTTCCCCCAAAATGTCTGTGCACAGCCCCGATAGATACTATACATTTACTAAAGATAAACAGTGCCACATCAATTTTAACAATACTTTTTTTTTTAAAGTTTGATGCAGAATATGCTCAACAGAGCAACAATCCAAGCCGCTTGGCTATTTTAACAAAAAATACATTAATTAATTTGAGAGCTGCATTTATTTCAAGTATTCATATGAGTATGTTTAAGGCTGCTAATCATTTGATGTGAAATACATGGGCCAAATCCCTCTCCCACAGTTCATGCTACATACTCAGCTGCAATGCAGAAAGAAAACGAGAGATAGAGACTTGGAGCCTTGCATATGCTGCGTGTGTCAGTGCAGTGAGTCATCGGCAGTGCTGGTTAATGTATTGTATTGTTGGGGACAAGCAGCCCATGCAGGATCATAGCTCAAATGATCCTTAAGTGAGCTAAACCATTGAGGCTGTTGAGGAAGCGTTCATCTTCATTGCCGTTCTTTGTCAAAGCTTATCCTTGAAACAAAGGATAATGTTTTTGTAGATATTGTATAACATGGCCCTTGCTCATATCATGCCAGAATGTGCATGAATGCCACAACATGTGTAGTTTTCTTACAGCTGAATAGGTAATTCTATAATCAACTGAGATTTCTTTTTAACACCCACAAAATCACTGAGAGTTTTCTACATCATTGCCCTTTGAGTCACTCCCCAACTGCCTCGCGTTTGTTGAGGCATCATTGCAACCCACCAGCTGTGAGCACATGGTGACTGGATACTCTGGCTTGGGGCATTTTGGAGAAGGAGCAAATGGCAGACTAGCTGCATGGAATCGATGTAGCTCCACTGCCCCACCCACTGGTTGTTGATGCTCACTGCACCCTTAGAAGACAGTCAAAGTAGAATTGGAAAAGATTGTTCAGAGCCAAGCCTTGGAGGCATGTAGAGCCTGGGGCTGACAGCAGGTCATCCCTGCATATTTTATACTAGCTGTGCACTGGGAATTGAATAGACTGGGTATGAAAGAAATTAAATGAGGCCACATCAAAGAACATGGAGCTAGGCTACTGACAGGGCTTCACACACGAGAATTGAAAAATGAATTAAACAGATGTACGCTCAGTTTTCTCTACAGTTGGTTTTATCCTGCAAATGGTGTGTCAGCTTTCTTGTTTTTGGGACTGCACAGCGGACACAGGTTGACTGAACACCCCCTCATCCATAAAATAAATAAGAACGTGATTCACTGCTGGTCTCTCTTTAAGCCATTTAATCCAACATCTCCACAGCAACCATCACCACTGATATGTAGAGTATTTTATTTTGAAGTTTTGCCCTTCAGTGACAATGGAATGACACATTTCACGTAGTGAAAGCAACAGTTACAGTATAACCTTTCTGGAGGGAAACCCACTGGTGTCCTCACAGGTCACTCATGTCTTTCAGCTTGTTTGAGGCTGATCCCCGTAGTGTGTCCTCTCTCTCTCCCTGTACTTTTCTGCAGGTTGCCCTGGCCCTGGAGCTCTACGTCTCTGATGAGCAGTCACCAGCCACA